TTTTGATTGGGTTGTTTATCTTCCTTTTATTAAGTTGTACGAGTTCCCTGTAAATGTTGGAGATTAAACCCTTATCAGTGATAACATTGGCAAATATGTTCTCCCATGCAGTGGGCTTTCTTGCTGTTTTATTGATGGTTTCTTTTGCTGTACAAAAACTTTTTATTTTGATGTAGTCCCATTTGTTTTTCTCTTTAGTTTCCATTGCCCTAGGGTGCTGTATCAGTGAAGATATTGCTTCGAGTATGTCTGAGATTTTGCTGTGGATTCCTTTAATATTTCTATGGTTTCCCATCTTATGTTTAAGACCTTTATCCATTTTGAGTTTATTTTTGTGTATGGTGTAAGTTGGTGGTCTAGTTTCATTTTTTTGCATGTATCTGTTCATAGGCAGTCTTGAATGAGCTTACCTCATTCTGGTTGGCAACATTTCACATCACAACTCATTGCTTGGCGGAGGGTGGGGAGAGGGAGGATGGGGGAGGGGGAACTAAGTGTATCCTTCAAGACTCCAGAAGAATCTTGGAAGGTCAGGCTTGGCTTTTCTGACTTTGCCCCACCAACCCTTTCCCTTTGATCTTGTTCTACATCCTTTTGCTGTAACAGATCTTAGCTGTATAACTCTAGGTTGAGTCCTGTGAGCCCTCTTAGGAAAGCCCCAGGGGATGGTCTTAGGGACTTTCAACACAGTCCTACTGATTTATTCTACCTGATCATACATAAAAGGTCATTTACCAATTTAAAATATCACATTTCATACATTTCAATACACTGTGCACTGGTTGATGACATGAGTTGACTCTAATTTTCAATCTATTAATTTTTTCCTTGTGAAACACTACGTTTGCAGCTGCTGCAATTTTTCCTGTGATCAAAACAGTGCCCACCATTACATATGGGGCAACGTCTGGCACACATTTTAAAAACCAACTGTACAGTATTACATTTCTCTCTCCCTCTTGCATTTCCTAGTTACTTCTCTTTTGATCTCATCAGCAAGGCCCTGGGCAAGTATCTTTCCCACTTTATTTCCCCTCACTGAGTTCATTATTCTGATACCCAGGGCAGAATTCAATTCTAACATCTACTATATAATCAGCCATTAATTTTCCATATTCTTTTTATTCCCAAAACTAAACTTTCCATTGGAATGATAGGCAATATATATAAATAAAATCTTGTGTCCCCAATCCACTGCTTTTTCTGTCTAGAGTTAATATTCCCTAATGATAGTAGTCTCCTCCTATGACTGTTTTTCAAACCATGTTCTTTAGGTTTGAATATTAGGAATGTTATCCTCAAGCTATTAATAGTTGATTATGACAAAAGATCCTATGGATAACTAAGTTTGGGAAGTTCGGTAAGTAAGGTTAAACAGATTTACTTATTATAAAACTTTTCAGAACCTTTGATATAATCATTTGAATTGTGAACATTTTAGGATTTTGGCTAGCATGTAGATCTGCATAAGTTATATAAAAGTATAAAATTATTCTCCCAAGAACATCATAGAAGGATTAATATTTTACAATATGTATTTTGAGAAATATTGTGCCTGTCCCTGGTAAGGTGGCAATAATCACATCTGATGTCTGGGCAGTCTGTGGATATAGATCCAGGGAGGCTGCAAATATTATGACCAACCAGATATAGCTACATTGCTGAATAATGAAACAACTGCTTTTAGAAATGAAGTATCTAAAACATTAGGCAAACTATAAATTAAAAACAAGATAAAGTAAAAATTGTTAATAGGTTATTATAGATCTATGGAAGAATTACTTTATAATTCTGAATGACTTGGAAGTATGAAGTTGCTTTAACACAGTGGTAGTAAGTTACTTGCCCCATAAAAGGAAAATTTAATTCAGTTAGTTTTAAGTCAATCACTCAATAGCTCATCTAGCAACCTGGATCTTGCATTGCTTGATTTCCAAAATGAAAAGAAAAAAAAATACACAGATACTAAAAATAAGACCACCGAGCAAGCATTTTTTAAAGTAATAAAAATGCATTACTACTAAATAAATTCAACAAAAAGGTTTGTTAATACTTTATTAGTATTTTCTAATGGACAGAACATAACACAAACCAAATAAAATTTTTACTCTTCTTTTTAGTTCAATAAAAATAACTGACATTCTGATTGTTGTTTCTTCTTTGTTAAAGAAGGAAAGTATTGATAGAGTAGTTAGGCACACAGTTGACACTTGCTGTACAATGATATGCACAAGTTATCTTTTAACAATTATAACCCTAAGATGTGCTCTTTATATTTTTCCCTTGTAATACAGGAGCCATGCTCCTATAAGCAAAATTTACTATTAACAAAAGAATTTACAAGGAGTGACAAAAAGACTTTTAAAACAAGTCCTTAAATAAAAGGATGCAGCAACAACGGAATGTAAGTTGTTGGGTTAAGAAGACATTAGTTTAAACTAGATCTCAAAACATTAAAAATTCATTTATTTTACAATTACTCAAATACACATGCATTAAATGAAAATATTGCACAAAATTAAAATTTTAGATTGTGAAATTTATATTGTTCTTAGTTTTTTAAAAATTGGTACACTTTCTGGTAGCACTTAACTGTTTAATTGTTTTCCCCAAACACCAGCAATACAACTTAAAATGAGCAAACTGAAATAGAAAAAAAGTTTTAATGTTTGTTTAAAAAAAATTAAGGCTAACCAAGTGCATCCACTGGTCAATGGCACAATTGTTTTCAGCAACAATTCAGTACACCCAAATTATAGGAAATGCCCGTCTAACTGTTATATTTAAATCATACAATCAAATTTTTTAGGTGAATAAACTATTAAAAGTTAATAAGGATGGTTTCTAAATAGTTTGTTACCTGAAAAATCAGAAAACCCAAAGAATGATTAACTTTTATGATTTTTGCCTACAGGCACCACTGACTTAACAAACATTCAAAAATCAAATATCAGAAGACATAAAGCCTCTTCATGTATATTCATATATGCAATAAATGCATTAAATGTAATAACTTCATTAAACATAGTACATTGTACTTATGGGTTAAATATTTTACACCCAGCTTGACCAAGTCATTCAAAGAATATCTCTAATTTTAGCATGACCACAGCTCTCTCTGATGTAAAACATAGATGTGCCTGGAGAAGATACACAACTGTTTACATAGACTACCATTTGACATTCC